CACCACCCTAGTAGTTAGGAACTAGCTGAAGATGGGGGGGGGGGAGATTTTGCATTGGGGAGACCCAGAGAAAGGTATTTTACTGGAGGCAATGAAATGAATTTTTAAATTCTGGCAAGTGTGAGCCAAAGAAGTGAGCAGTCATTTCCGTAGTGCTGGCTTTTTTTCATGAAACTTATGGAATTGGTACAGTTCAATAAAGTTGTATACCATGAGGATACATCAAGTGACCTTGCAGAACACCCCATCTTGCAGTGGGTAAGGGTATATTGACTGAGATCTTCCAGGTTCATAGCTCTCAGCACAGGGCAGGCAACAAGATGAATCCAATGTGAATGGGCCCAAAAGCAATGGGTGAGTCTTTGATGGTTGATGTAAGAAATGACTATGGAATTGTTGGAGTGGATCATGACCAAGTGATCAACCAGTAGAGCAGGAAATGGGAACATGCCCAACAAAGAGCAAAAAGTTCAAGTATGTAAATGTATAGTAAATGTTCATCCTGCATTCTAATGCCACAAATGAGACCATCATTCACAGAAGCACCCACTGAGAGGAAAGCATTAGTGAAGAGATGGAGATAGTATTGGTATGCTCCAGCCACCATGACAGTTCCTCAAGTAAAGGGGAGGTTCACAATCAAGGGCAGTGTATCTTGAGATGGAATCCATTGGTCCTGCAAGGTTCACTGGAGGAGGCACATGTGTGCATGCTCCAAAAGAAATAAGCAGTTTCATGGAAGCCAGAACCTCCAAAAGTGAAAAAAAATATCTCATACAGGATGAGAAGGAGAAGCATGAATCTTGGTGACCAGACACTTTCAAAGTTCATAGGAAAAGGTGAGAAAGCTGAGCTTAGCTGAGGCAAGAGTTGAAGAAGATACCCAGATGTATCAAGTATTGAGTGGGCATGAGAAAGGACTTTGATATATTGACAAGCAGCCTCCTGTAGAAGAAGAGAGGTGTGAAAAGAGGATACCTCTTGGGAATGGGCTAAAAAAAAAAGCCAACTGTCCATGTAGAAGTGGAATCTCAGTCCCAGGCCATGAAGGTGGCATGCAAAAGTCCTCATGACTCGACTGAATACATGAAGAACTGAGGACATGCTAAAGGGAAGAGCATGGAATTGGAAGACACGATTCCAATGGACAAATCGTAGAAAACATCTGCAAGATGGGGCAATTTGGATATGTTGGAAGGCATCCGACACATCAACCTTGGTAATCCATAGCCAGGGTGAAAAGGTCCACCAAAGAGAAAAGAAACTCTTCATCCGAAATTGTGAAATGACCAGAAATTGGTTGACAGATAATTAACAGATGCCAGTCCATGGTCTTCTTGACACCACAAAAAGATGAGAGTAAAGCCCTGTATACCCTCTCAACAGTGTGTTTGCCTAAAAGATTTGAAACTGCATCTTTAAGATGCCAAAGACAGATTGGGTCTGAAGGAGGAGAAAAGGTAATGGAAAGAGAAGAGGGGGGGGGAGAAGAGAAGTGGAGAGAAAAGCCATGGGTAAGAACTTACAAAGGTCTGCAAACTGAAACAGATGGGTGGCCAATGGACCTGGACCTGACCCAACAGGATTGTCTCTGACAAGAAGTGTAACAAACCTAACTGGGTGCCCACTGGATCTGACCCAAAGTTAGTCACTGATAAGATATGTGAAGAACCTGAAGGGATGAAGGATAGAGTCTGGAAGGTGGAATAGGAATATTAAGGATAGACTGTCGAAGAACAGGAATGGAAGGGTGAGACTGGGAAAAGCAAGAAATGAGGTTATGTATAAATGACTGGTGCCGACTGCTTTAGCTGTGGATGTCAGCAAATCAGGAACACCACCAAAGACATTACATTGAAAAAGGAGAAGCCTGTTGGAGATCATACACATAAGAAGTAGATAGTTGTACGTTGGTATGGGACATATTCCAACCCAGCAGCACAGGAGCTAAATGAGCAGGGAAAGGGAAGAAGTGGTACAGGCCATTGTGGCAAATAGAAGGGGATAAACCTTCCATGAAAACCTTTCTGAATCACAATGAAGTGCCTCAGACATGAGGTACAGGGAGAATAGGTAGTGCAAGAGGGTGGTAACAAAAAGACAAAGACACGAAAACTGGGCAATTGAGAGCAAAATAGAAAACAAGGAGTCCATTCCCCAAGCATATAATATATTCCATATACTGATGCTAGGATGCAGGAATCAATAAGATGTGGAAGACGAGGCAATCGGGTATGGGCGCAAAGTTGTCTAAGGAAGAAATCAGCATAAACCAAAATGTCAAGCAAGAGAGGAAACATTAAATACCTGTGAGAATTAGTATTTTGGAGCAAAAAATGAGAAAGAAAGAAAGGAGCATACCTGAAAAAATCAAGTCCTGAAACAATGTGGAAGGTTGAGGATTTTCCTCAGTCAGAAGAGAGGTATCCAAAGTAAATCCAGGTGGAGGAAAGAGGCAATAAAATTTGTCTTCCTTCTTTTCAAGCTCAAATTGAGGAGAAAGGATATCTGCCAAATGGACAGGAGTAAAATGCCCAGCGTGTATAATGGATCTGACAACATGCTATTCAATGATTGTAATGTTCTTTACAGTCAGTGAGCCTCCCGAAGCCACAGTAGAAATAGGACCTGTGTGTGTAGTATTGTCACCCATGCAGGACAAAGTTGAATTCATGGTCACTTGAGAATTCATGATAAAAACTTAAGAGCTTTTGAAACAAAAGCTAAAGAAAACGAAAATCATTAACAAATGCAAATCTCACAAAAGTGAATTCAGATGAGAAAAATTTAACATGTCTGTTGAAAGCAGTGCTGAGGAGAAGAATGAAATCATCACGTGTGGTAGTGGATAGGGGGAGTTACTATGTATGGAGGTTGCATCACCCTCCTATCAGTGAGGGCTATTGTCGCACAATATCATCATCATGCATCAGTGCAGTTCACATTAAGCACGTGAATTTAAATGAAAGTTCTCTCAAGGCTAGTGGCAAATAAATCTCATAGGCAGATGTGCAAGGGATATAGAATTTCTGTACGAGGAGGTAAATTATCATCTTGGAAGTTGTGATAATATTCAATTACAGTCAAATGATTATTTTCAAGTATCAATCTTTGCAAATTAAATTAAAATGATAAAATTGATTAAGTAGTTTTAATAAATGTATATAAATATCATAATATTTAAAAAAAAACTGCAATATACTATTACAATACTGTTGCAGGCAGTGTTAAAACATTAATCCATATATTATCTCTCCATATTCCATTTTTTGAATTTCTCATAGTTTGTTTTTAGTCACACCTGTTACAACCTGCCTCCTCAGATTTATTTCAAAACATTGCCAATAGAGTTGTTAAGTTTGATTTTGTTATTTCATTTATTATGATTCGTACTAAATTCTTACTAAAAATTGACAACATCTGTTAAATTACATCGTTATATAGTTCTCTGTACCATTTTTACACTAAATCAGCTGATATAAAGCTGGCTTCCCTTGACAGCTAACCAAGAATTTTAACTTTCTGTAAATACATGCAATTTTTGAGGTTTGAGGTGCATGTTTTTAGAGAACTTGTAACAAATAATCACTCACCTGTAAAACAAGTTTAATTTTATAGAATGTTGTTAGGAAAAAAAAATTAGCACATATATCTTTTTATAACCCATGAATAATAAATATTCTTCTCAGTGGTGCACTTAGTTTTTCAATACAAGATTTTCTTAGATTACACTTTACAACAATAATAAAACAGAGTAGGCAAAAAAAAAGGTTTTATGTACAGAAATGTACTTCAACTTTTTTTTATTTTTGCAGCTTATAACATACAAATTATATAAATTCAAATGTTATCAAGCCATCAATAACAAACATTTTACAGAGTGATAAACTCATATGCAATGACTTTATCAAACATAATAATCATTTTATTAAAGAGAAGTGGAAATTTCCTTGAAATAAATCTTTGTAACAAATTAATTAATCTAATTAATATTTTGGTTTGCTGAAAGAATATTGCACACAATATTTTTCTTACCTAAGTGATTCTGCAGCTTTTACATTTCTTTCTGTCTTGATACAGATCTGGCCCAGTAATTGCACTACAAAAGATGCTGATTCTCCAAACTCATTAATTATATCTTCTATATTTCTTGATTTTGCTATTCCACTCCCTGTTAAAGCTAGTTCAGCCTCTGCATACCTGAAACAAGTGTTCAGTAAATATACTAGTTAGATAAACGATTAACTGTACCTCTAAAAATAGCCCAATTTTAATTAACTTTGTTTAATCTTTAAAGGAACAGCCTTTAAACCAAAAGTTTTTTTTTAAGTCAAATAACCTAGAAAAAATGCAAAACAAATTTTGATCTATTGCTTTTCAAAACAGTAAAATTTTTGCTAACAGCCAAGTACCAATTTTGGCTGATAAATTGAAACAAGTGTACTATAATTAAAGTTTAATGCTTCAGGGAACTTTAAAAACATTGTTTACATGAATATAAAGGCATATTATGTGTACTATTAACTTAAATTTTCTATTTTAAGCATTTGAGCACACTACTAAGAAATATATGAGAAAAGTTATGAAATACCAACTTAATTGGGAGTTATAGAAGACATTTTTTTGCTGCAAATAATTAAAATAGAAAAAACACATTGCATGTAAATAACTATAAAGAATTAGAAACCAATTTTGGGTTTAGGACCTTTTCTCCCATTACAATGGTCCACCATCATAGGGCCTAACTCTTCATCAAGTACATTTAGACTCATCCTTCTTAAAACTATTAATGTTTGTGCTCACTTTCTTTAAAATTTAGTTAATACAGCATTCAACACCTTTAATTACAGCAAATGTTTTATAACTCATTCAATGCATATTTTAGTCCATTATTTTAAAAGATGTTCTAATATAAAAACAACAACTTAAAATTCTGTCCAGTTTTCAAATCCAATCAGTAGTTTACTAAATACAAGCTATTGATTCAAACACTAGCACAGGTTAAACTATAGAACTTTGCTTATAGAATATTGTACTAAAGTTCATCTATGTTTGTTTGTTTGTTTTTTAATTTCGCGCAAAGCTTCACGAGGGCTATCTGCGCTAGCCGTCCTTAATTTAGCAGTGTAAGACTAGAGAGAAGGCAGCTAGTCATCACCATCCACCGCCAACTCTTGGGCTACTCTTTTACCAATGAATAGTGGTATTGACCATCACATTATAATGCCCCCACAGCTGAAAGGGCGAGCATGTTTGGTGGGACGGGGATTCGAACCCACAGACCCTCAGATTGGGAGTCGAGCGCCCTAACTACCTGGCCATGCCGGGCCACAGTTCATCTTTGTATTTCTTTCATCTAAAAGCAAATACTTGTAGACAAAATAAGACAGACACTTCCCTTTGAACTAAAAAAAATAACAAAAAGTGTGTATAATTTCTCCATAGTCATGACAACAGTAAATAATTGAGCAATTGGTTTATAGATGAATGGGACAAACAATGCAAGTTGTGGAGTAACTATCTTATTATAAAATTGTTTCTAAATATAGGTGAGGTTCATGGATATAATTTGCACAAATTAATACTGTACTATTTAATTATGTAGTATATATTCTATACTTACTACATATACTTATTTCTTCGAAATTACATCAAAATTCAATACAAAAACACTTTATA